ACTGTAAGTCAGCCCCAGTTAAATGTTTTCCTTTTTAAGAGCTACCATGGTCATGGTGTTTCTTCACAGCAACAGAAACTCTAAGACACTATCCATATATAACTTTCCCCTGAATTCCAGACTCAGTTATTCAAGAATACCTCTAGTAGGATGTCTCCTTTCAGTTTTATGAAACCAAAGTCAAATGTTTGATATTAACTCCTAATACTCCATCTCAAACCTGGTCTTCATGTAACCTTTCCCATTTAGTCACTGGCAATAATATTCTTTTATTTGCCCATACCAGGAGTTATTCTTCTTTCATGGTCTCTGTGTTCTCTCAGTAAATGTTAACTCCACCTTGAAAGCATATGCAGAACAGGCATACTTCTCAGCGTCTACCACACGATGCTGTATTCCATGCCACCATCACCTTTTACCCAGATGACTGCAACCGACTCCTAACCTTTTTTCTTACTTCAGTATTTGCCCAAATGCAGGCTAAATACTCAGATGACATCTTACCTCTGGTCAACATATTTCAGAGGCTTTTCATCTTACTCAAGATGGAAGTTAAAGTCCTTACCAACATTCGATGATGTACTATACAGTCTGGCTCTCCTTTATGTCTCTGTTTTTAATCACACCAAACCCCTAGAGATCGCCTAACTTTCCTAATACTATGACCCTTTAATATAATTCTTCATGTTGTGGTGACCACCAACTATAAAATTATTTTCATTGCTGCCTCACAACTGTAGTTTTGCTACTGTTATGAATTGTAATGCAAATATCTGATATATGACCCCACAAAGGGGTCACAACCCACAGGTTGAAAACCACTGCTCTAGGTCATTCTGCTACCTTTATTACTTGAAGTGTAGGGTTTTCCACTTCAAATACTTTGTACTGTTAATTGCTCTGTATATATCTTCTTATAATATATAATATTTACATCTTTAATATATGAGATCTATAATAGTTAAATCTTTAATACATGACATCTATAATATTCACATCTTTATTGCATATGCTAAAGTTGCTATTGTGGATTTATTGCCTACTTTCCACTGCCTCCTCATATGTACACATTCTCTTTCTCTCTCTCTCTCTCTCTCTCTCTCTCTCGTGTGTGTGTGTGTGTGTGTGTGTGTATGCATGTGTTTAACACTAACATTATTAGAGGCTATGTCAATAAGTCTCAGTAGGAAGAAAACATAAATGTTTTTCTTTTTTAAAACTTCAGATTCACAATTAAAGTGGCATGTGGATGAATGACTTAAGCTTATGGTTGAAAAATCAAGAGATTTAAACACTGGATTCACCTTTGCTAATTACTTGCTAATCAATTCTGAGATTAATCTGTAGCTTCTTTAGAACAATGTAAAAATACCAGTTCTAATTAGAGATGTTATTAAATTATAAAAACAAAAACAAGACAACATTGATAAATTATGTCAGAAATAAAATTTTAAATTCTGTGATAACCACAGATGTTTACTAACTGTACTGATAGTTTTAATCTTCAGTTTGCTAGAACTTAGAGTCACCTGAGAAGGAAAGTTCACTTGAGAAATTATCTAGATCATACTGGTCTATTGGAAACTGAGTGGTCATGTTGATTATTGTTGTAGGAAGACTCAGCCTGCTGTGGATGGCACCACTTTGTGGGGTAGACCCTGAACTGCTTGATAGTGAGAAGGGCTAGCTGAATATAAGCATGCAGCAGGCAACCAGTGGGGGTGCATTCAATTTCTCTCTGCCCTTGGCTGTGGACATGAGTGACTAGCTACCGTGTTCCTGACTTGACTTCCCCTCAACAATAGACTGTAACCTATAATAATACGAGGAGCAAACCCTTTTCTCCCCTAAACTGCTTTTGGCTGGATGTTTTTATCACAGCAACAGAAATTAAACTAGAATCATGGCAAATGCAATCTGTGTTTTCAAGAGCAGAACAAATCTAGGTCACAGAGGAGCTTTCAGGGTAAGCATTCTGAAGGTGAAGTTGAAGCATAAAGTCTGGCCATTTAAGGTTTCTCTCCTCATCCACAATAGCTACTAAGCAGAAAAAAACAAGAGACTTAGTCTACATACCACTGATGTCATTACAAACATGGAGTCAAGTCAGATGTGAGAAGGGCCAGGGTCACAGGCCTAGAACTTCAGCATTAGGGAAGCAAACACAGGATTGTCAGTTTGCTTAGATTATACAGGATTGTGAATTTGTAAGGTCAGCCAGCAGTTCTGAGCCAGGTTAGGTTACATAGCAAGACTGTCTTTAAAAACAAAACATATGACTGTTTCAGCTAACTGACTACTTGGAGTTAACTCAAGAAGAATCTGTTCATGAGAGGCCAATGCCTCCTTTTGTGCCAATGCTTATCACAAACTAGGCATTCCACCAATGCCAACAGTTACTTCTTACATAACACTATGAAGCACTCCATCCAAAAGTTAGAAAATGAATGGGAGAAGCACATTATCCTTGATAGGTTATATTTCATAATAATCTTTCAAAACGTTTATATACACATTCTAGGGTCATCGATCACCTGGTACTGGACATAGTCTTAAAATCAAATACTGCCACATGATTCTACGTTTGTGATGGAGTAAACCTAACATACGCGTCACATAGCATTGAAGCTTACTATAAAACAAAGTCTCATGCCAACTGTGTCACCTAGCGACACACCAAACCACGTATTAGTCAGGCACGAGCAGACAGTGGCATATTCTTGACGTTGGCCAGATGACACTGTGTATTATCAAATACTTTAATTTGCAATAGTTCACTGACAAAAAGTATAACAATTAAAAACTAAATAAACATTTCAAAGTCTGTAATAATTGCACCAACCACACATTATAGGAATTCACAAGCTGGGCATGGCACCTGTCTTTAATTCTAACACTTAGGAGTCAGAGACAGAAAGGTCTCTGCAAGTTCGAGGCAGCCAGGTGTACATATATTGAGTTCCAGAACAGCCAGGGCTTTCCTGTCTTGGGGGTAAAATAAATCACGAGTAATTGTTCTAGCCTGCTTCTTTGCTGCTGTCCATTGCCTCCATACTTCAAATGTAAAGAGACTGAAACCAACACACAAGCATTATCTTATAGTTAGTTCTGTGGGTTAGAAGCCTGCCATGAATTAAGATGCCTTCTGGGGATTCCAGGAGTCCTCTTCTTTGAGATTTGACTTTTGGAGGCTATCCTGTGCTGTCTCAGAGCCCCTTCCCTCCACCTTTTAAGCTTCCATTAGCCAGCAGAGTCGTCTCACACCAGCTCATGATAGCCCTGCTCGGGTCTCTTTCTGACTCATCCTTCTACCCTCCTCTGCTACGTCAGAGAGCTGCTGTGCTCACATGGACTCTCAGGTCATCCAGAACTACCCTCTCTTCAGATAAGATGACCTGCAAACGCACTTGGATTTTGCAATGTGACTGACAACATTCACGGGTTCTTGAGGTGAGGACACAGACATTTGGAGGACTATTATCCTGCTGACCACCAAATAAACAATAGAACTCCATAGGGTTAGGAAGTTAATCCCTATTAACACTGACATTCAAATATTGCGCTTTGAGGCTTTAAAAATGAGCTTTGAAGTTGTAAAGGAACAGTGGGGGAGGGGAACCACAGGGGAAGAATAGAGTAGATTTGGTCAAAACATATATATATGCATGTATAAAGTTCTTAAACAATGTAATTATTTTTAAAAAGATTGCTCGCTAGCCAGGCAGTGGTGGTACATGCATTAATCTCTGCACTTAGGAGGCAGAGGCAGGCAGAAGTCTGAGTTCGAGGCTAGCAGGTTACAAAGTGAGTTCCAGGAAATCTCAGGTTACACAGAGAAATTCTGTTTGAAAAAAAAAAAAAAACAAACGAAAAATATTACTGACTAATTCTAAGCTAAATATAGTTTATTCTGTTCTCGATACAGTAGCAAACAAAACCTAAAAGGTACTAATATCTTTATTCTTAAGTAGGCTTTCTTATGCAGCAATCTTATTTGACATAGATTTCTCTTCCTATTTCTACTACTAAACTCACTAAATAAGTTGGCCTTACAGAGCGCCATATTGGGTTCATACCTAGCTATTGTTTCACAACCTGAGTAATAATATGTAAGTTTAACTGGGTAGAACCATGGAGCCACAAATGTGCCTTCCTGGTTGTTTATCCCTGTTAGGATGCCGTCCTATTACAGACTTGCCACCCTATAATAAGGAATTAGAAATGCAGGATTCTCAGCACAGTTCTTGCCTACCATCGAGCACTCCTTAAGCAAAACTAGCATTTATTGTATAAAAGCTACATCCAAGCTTTAAAGTACACTAAAGGTAATTCTAGAATTCTACATTATCCTCTACAAAACTAGAACTTTAAACAACATAAAAGAATATTACTGCTTAATGTCTCAGTTTTCTATATATCTAGTTAAATTATTTTTCAATTTTACTAACTAGCTTGTAACTCTCCATCTATCTATCTATCTATCCATCTATCTACCTATCCATCTATCTACCTATCCATCTATCATCTATCCATCTATCCATCCATCCATCTATCTATCTATATATCTATCTATCTAACTACTTATTTATTAAGGCCAGTTTTACTAAGTACAGCAGGTTGACCTCAAACTCAAGACCCCCCTTGTCCTGGACTCCAAGTGAGATTACATTAATGTGCTGCTACACCTGGCCTAACATTACTTTTAAATTAAAAATAGAAGAAACAAAAGAACCAACCTAGGAACAATACATTTTCTGAGTAATCTTCACAGTGAAATCTGAAGAACCAGCTTCCACTTGAATACTACCACTTTTGAAGAAATGACTTCTAATTCTAAACCAAGTACGTGCAGTGAAGAACTGACAGAGATGAAATGAATTAAAATTAAAACCGAATATGAACATGAAAACTGATATTTTCTAAAGTTAACTCAAGATATTCATAAAATTTTGTTTTAACTATTTCAGGACTTTTTTATATTTTCAAACAAAAATACTTACAGTTTGATAATATGAGGATGACGAAAGAGTTTAAGATTTTGAATTTCTCGTTTTATTTTTCCAACAACATCTAAACTGCGAATCTTCTGTCTATTTAAGATCTTAACTGCCACTTTATGGCCTGTCAACTGGTGTTCTCCAACTGAAGAAAGAGAAAGAGAAATATTGGCTGTCATATGAACGGGATCATCATGCACCTTCCTAAGTGCCCTACACTTATTTAGTCATGGATCTACTTCAGCAGTCATGGATGCACAGGCCTCAAGTGTTCTTCTTTGCCTCTGCATCTTCCCCTTCAAAAAGAGTCTCTTCAACACAGAAACTACGCCTTGGTCATCTCAGCATCCTCAGTAAAGCAAAGAAAGGTTAGTTCATCTTCTACATTCCTTCATAAAAATACTATAGAACATCTTTTAGACAGAATAGAATTCATTATATTTTTCCTTATTTCTCACCTTCTATTTAACATCACTGTATTTATTACAGAATAAATAATTTCTGTAATAAATGTAAAACAATTACTGTTCAAAATTCAAGCTACAGCAATCTCTGCTACTTCACACACTGCTCATCACCCCCTTTTGTTCGGGACCATGCTAATCTTCTCTGGCTTGGGCCAGCTTTAATGGTTCTGCTAAGGAACACTCTTATTCCCTGTTGGTTAGCACCACTCTCTCTATTAACTTCTAGGTGGCCTTCGTTCTGTTCTCTGCTGTTCCTTAAAGATTAGTTTCTAATCTAGATGCATGGTGGCCCCTCGAGTCATCTCACATCTCTCAGCCACACTTACAACAACTCCATGAAGGATCACTATTCTCCAGGGATAAATGCAACCTAACACAGAAAAGCTAAACAGTTTGTCTGACTGAGGTCACATGATTAAGGGGAGGCACCACATGTGACCCAGAGTTGTCTTAACTTCAGAACCAAAATGTTTAACCACACAATCCAACAATGCTATCCATGTGCTTGGGATAAGAGTGATACAAACATAAAAGGGACTAATTTAGGAACTGCATTACTTGTTGAGGGACATTATTTTATTTTCATAATTTCATAATTATTTTAATCACATTTTTAAAAGTTTGAAAGTTACTTTCCTCACATATAAAGCAAACCAATTAGTAAAAATCATGCTCAAAGTAGATGGGGTAGGAGGGAGGTATGGGGAGGGAACAGGAGAAGAGGGAGAGGCAACTGTGGTTGGCATGTAAAATAAATAAACAAACGGATGAATGAATGAATAAACAAATAAAATGAATAAATAAATAAAAGTCATGTTCCAAGCAACATCAATTTACTAGCATTCTACAATGCTTCCAGAACTTAAGGAAAACTTTGATTTCAGGGGATATCCAATGAAATAGCCTAAATAGTTTTTCTTTCTTTCTTTCTTTCTTTCTTTCTTTCCTTCTTTCTTTCTTTCAGGGACTATCCAATGAAATAGCCTAAATAGTTTCTTCCTTCCTTCTTTCCTTCTTTCCTTCCTTCCTTTTTTGCTTAAATAGTTTCTTGATGCCTGAGTGTGTATCACATACCCTGGAAATCTGATAACATCCAAGCACTAGTGCACATGGCCCAACAAGTATGACTTTGTCTTCATTCAAATCTACTATGACCTCAAGGAAAGTAAAGACTGCCACCACTTATCACTACGATAGGGTGAGATTTACTTTCTCCTCCACAGAGCAACTAAAGTACTGTCTAGTGCCAAACAGGGGACTTTCCCAAGTCAAAGAGGGCGTGGACTCTGTGATGGTTAGTCAAATAGAGTTGACCGAATAAATATTCGAGAGGTTAGTGAAGTACAGCTCTCCATATGTATGTGAAGCCATTCCAAAGATAATTAAAACCTAAAGACACTGACCTATGCGATGGATAAATGTCTTGACAGATCCATGCTACCACAACACAGGTGAAAGGTGGGGGCAAGAGGGCTCTGGAAGGAGGTGATCATGGGAATGTCTGTAAGGCTGCAATGGCTCCGGTCTGTTTTTCCTTTCTGGCTAATAAAATGTGAACTGCTTTGCTCCAACCTGCCCTTCCATCATGATAGATAGCGCCTATGAAACTGGTAGCCAAAATAAATAATTCCATCCTACACACTGTTCCCAGGTATTTTGACCACATGATCTAAAGGTATCTATCATGAAGTCTATCGGCCAGGCAGGTATGTCATTTGTTCTGCTATCACAGGCAAATCTGCAAACAAAAACATGAGTGAACTGATTCAGAAGAATAGGATTGTTTTGTCTATATCTGAGGAAAAACTGATCTGTTTGTCTTTACATATGGAGAAAGTTTCCTGAATTAAACACTGAAAAAGAAATGGCATTTTCTATAGAAATGGTTAAGAAAACAGATAAGTAAGTGTCTGAAGTTAAAACACACCAATGCATTGACAATTCCCAGTTTTGAGGAATTAATTAGCCATTTGTCTAATAAATCCTTCAGTGACTTCTTGCTTAACTATAATTAATTATATACAAATAATTTGTCATCCTTTCCTCGGAAAGCCAAATTAAAGTCCAAAAACTTTTTAATAAATACACATATAAGACAAAAAAAATCTTATATGTATATAGCAGACATAAACTTTCCTTTATGGAAATCAAATGTTTGCATTCATCAAAGTTTTATTTCCATTCAATCAATTGAAAAAAATCTAAAACATTTGCTAGGCATCTTTTATGAGCAATGGTTTGTTGATCATATGCAGATGAAAAGAGATTTACATTAGGCTTCATCGTATTAATGGGGAATAATGACAGCAATAAAACAACTAAAATAATCTTTTGTTTTGTTTTGTTTTTCGAGACAGGGTTTCTCTGTGGTTTTGGAGCCTGTCCTGGAACTAGCTCTTGTAGACCAGGCTGATCTCGAACTCACAGAGATCCGCCTGCCTCTGCCTCCCAAGTGCTGGAATTAAAGGCGTGTGCAACCACCGCCCTGCCTGAAATAAATCTTATATGGTATTTAATATTTCTTGTTTGTAAAGGGTAGTTGAAAAAGAATGGACAAGCTTGCCATAGCACCATGTACAAAGCAAGTATTCAAACCATACCTGCTTTGGGGTACAGTAAGAACACTCCCCCACTGAACTACTTTATAGTGAGGCCCACCATGAGAAAGCACTGTGCTAATCACACAAACAGTCCACCCGGGACAGCATGGTTCTCTTGCACTGCTAGCTGCCCAGCAATATCTACTGTACTTTTAGTACCCCAGGCACAAATCCCAAATTACACCCACACACATGACTAGCAAAAGGAAAGACAGCACCCTACACCTCAGTGTCTAGCTGTAGCCATGTAAAAGTCCCCGCAGTTTCTCCATCTCAAAGTTTGGACCTTAAAAGGTCTGAACCCAAAGGTGAGTTATGTATCCAGAAGCAACAGGGAAAAGAGCAGACAACAGACACTATGACAGTGTGAACTATCTGTCAGAATTTTACGAGAGTTCATACTGCCATCTTGTTTAACCCCTCCCCCCTTTTTGAGAATTTCATACAAGTCTACAATGCTGAGGTTCGGCAGCTGTGAGCCACCTGATGTGGTGCTGGGAACTGGACTGAGGTTCTCTGTAAGCGCGCTCTGCATTGTTGACTGCTGGTCCACCTCCCCAACAACACATACAATGTTTTCTGAACAAACCCACCCCAACCCACACTCCTACACCATTTCTCCATCTTTCATTCATGTGCAACTTTTTGTTTCTTTCTTTTAACTCGCTAGTCCCTTTAGTGTTGTCAGTATGTGTGAGTGTAAAACCATTTCACTGAAGCAAGGGCCAGCTAACAGGATCGGTATCCCTGAAGAAAACTGACTGACCCTCCCTAGTAGCCAGTAGTTCCTCAACTATGAGTGGGACTTTTTGGACCCCTCTCCCATGCATGCTGGATCTTTGCTGGACTGGGCTGTGTGGATCTCACCCATATGGAAACAGCTACTGGGAGTCCTTATGCTCAGCAGCCCCGTCGTGTCTGAAAACACTGCTTAGCTGCAGCCCTCCACAATCTCTAGCTTTCCCTTTCTGTGATGATGGTCTTTGAGTTTTGGGAGGAGGGCCATGATATGGATGTTCCATTTAGGTTGAAACACCCCAGTTTCTTATTCTCCGTGCTGTGACTGGTTTGGAGTCTCTGTACTGTCATCTACAGCAAAAAGATGCTTCTTTGATGAGTTGAGAGCAGCAATAATCTAAGTATAATGGTAAGTATCTAGAGAGCAGTTTGATACAATGTCCATTTAGCAACATAATAGTAACAGGTTCTCCCCTAGGGTTTATGACCAACCCAGCAATGTGTTTTTGATCCAGTTAATAGTACCAGGTATGAGTTCTATATTGTGCGTCATGCCTTAAATCCAACCAGAATATTGCTAGTTACTCTCATAACATGCCAGCCACTATGCACCAGTGGCCATACCTTGCCAGAATTGTCATTATTGTAGCTCCCAGGGTTCACATCTGGGTAAGATATTGATGGCTTTTCCCTCTCGGTAGCCTGCATAGTGCCTTCTGACAACACAAAAGCTAGCCAGTTCAGATAAAGATTCCAGGTCAGTACCAGCTTGATTTCTGTATCCTATGACTCATGTATATGGTGACTGACTTCCGCAATCAGATCTTACCCTTCCAATTCCTGGTGGGCAGCCAAGAGCAATCACAATGTCCTGCATTGTTTGGGGGAGTCCATGGGAACCCCCTTGACCAACAAGTTGAAGAAAGATAGACCCTTTTATTCAGTTGAAGAGGAGTAGACCTTGCATCAAGTTGAAAAGGAATAGGCCCTTTTCACAAGTTGAAGATGGGCTACCTTTTTATTTTCTGCATATGTCTGCCCCTGATGATTAACAACTACTTACTCAGAACAATTTAAAACTCCCTTCAGGGCTCTTCTGAACTCCACATGGATGCTATGGCATGCACACACACCATAAATACATACATACATAGATGTGCAATAATTAACTTCAAATATTCAATTTTACTGGAGTATCTATTAATAGTCCCTTCTGACTTTCTTAAATTCTAGCCATATCCACAAAATACTTTCTAAAACCAAGGAGCACTGTGGAGGGAAACCCACACTCACTCAGACTGCACCTGAACTATGCCTTTTATGATTTATTTTTTTTTTTT